CATCTTGACTATCACCCTGACCTTCACACTAATAGCACTGGTTCTTTGACTAGGGTTGCAACCTGAGATCCCAAGTAGGGGGCTGCCAAATTGGGAGGGTGTCCCCACAGACACCCCAGAACCTGGCGCAGGCCTGGTTGTTAAACACCATTCGTCTCCATCAGCACTGCCCTCTCGGGTGCTCAGCCTTATCTTAAGAGGCAGTGAGCGGACTTGGGTGAGAATGTGTCTGCAGAATTCTGTGTCTAAGTGTGTGTGTCTCAGAGAGTAAATGATGAGGGAGAGTGTGTCAAAGCATGTGTGTAAGTGGGCATGTGATAGGATGTGTATGAGAAAACATGTATATGAGAGTGTATAAGTAGACATGTGAATACACGTCTGAAAGAGTATGTGTAAGTGAGTAAGATGGGTTTTATGTCAACTTGGCTGGGCCAGGATTCTGTTTGGCAGTTGAAGCTTCCTCCTTGATGCGAGCTAACATAATGTAATCAGCTCCCTGATGAGCTCTGCCTTGAGCATCCAAGCAGTTGTGGGATGATTAGGATGGAGTGCTACCCTCTGGTCCACTTGGAAGGAAGTTGTATTGGGGATGTGAACTACTCCGGTAATAAGTTAACATTGTGCTGAAGGTAGCTTCTTCTGGCTGGTCCAGATCTCACATCTGGCTCATCAAACTGGACCGCCATATTGCCTGCTGACTCTGCGAGCTATCAAGGGCCCGCCACATTGCTTGTCAACCTTGGGTTCATTTGACTCTGCAGCCGTGAGGTTGACTTTGCCGGCCATGGATTCATACGCCTCTGCCTTCACCAGCCAGTGAAGCAAAGACCTTCCTGTTTGCTCCTTTGTCTTCTTGCCTCTTGGCTCATCAGCCGCAGCAGCTACTCCAGTCAGGAAAGGCTCTAGTTTAACATTCAACCTAGAGACTTGAAACAGTGCAATTTCTTTTACAACCGTGTGAGCCACTCTCTTGATAGGTTGTTGTTGTTGTTGTGAGGTGCCATTGAGTCAGTTCTGATCCATAGTGACCTTATGAACAATGGAAGGAAACACTGCCCCGTCCTGTGCCATCCTCACAATTGTTCCTCTGCTGAAGCCCATTGTTGCAGCCACTGCGTCCCTCCATCTCCTCGAGGACCTTCTTTTTCACTGCCCCTCAACTTTACCACACGCGATGCCCTTCTCCAAGGACTTGTCCAAAGTACAAGAGATGAGGCCT